GAATTATGCAAGAGAGACTCTCATATCTAGACATTTCCGTCCCTAAATCATCTGTTGATGCTATGGGGGGAACAATTTAGTTTTGGGTTTAGTTTATTATTATCTATGTGATTAGTAAATATAACAATAATATATCGATTTGATAAAACCAAAATCAGGGTAAAACAAACGTTATATAAAAAGCATATATATCAATAACTGACAAAAGGAATAGATAGTTTGCCCCGCTAGGAGGCTGGTATCAAGGGATCACTGCGCACACTTCCTCGGTAAACACACGGGATAGAAAGGTAACATACAGAATATGTGAAGAGGCAATTGGATGCAAGGCGCGTGTTCTGTCATTGTGGATGAATGTTAAGTGGTATATATTAACTAGGATTGGTGCTGTGATCACAAAGGTCCTGTCTTCTCAGGTGTGTGGGATCGTTCTGAAACCGCAAAACTGTGAAAACACCTCCTAAACTTGGTAAATCGCACAAAGATTTTGGTCCCTGAAACTTAATCGATTTTATATAGTATAATAATATTACATCTTATATATATGGGCAGATAAGGAGTGCAACAGACTAGTACTACAATATATATATACATTAATCATATACAATTATATATATATACATAATATATATATGTGTGTGTGTGTGTGTGTGTGTGTGGTGTGTATATATATATATATATATATATATATATATATATATATATAATATATATATATATATATATATATATAATGGAGGGTAATTCAAGAACGAGAACATTCTTCTTGCTGTATTTAAAACGAATTTACATTTTCTTTAAAATTCTTTCTCCTTTGTGCGTTTTTTAGTTCATCTATCTATAAAAATATTTCTCTCCGAAACACTACTGATAAAGCACAATTCCTTGAATCTACATGCTTCCTGAAGAAAGCAAAACTGACTTTCATGACGTTTTGGTTACGTCACGAAGAAAATTGTTGCCAATTATAATTTTCCTACTTTAGACGTTCTACGGTTTCTGTGTTGACTGGAATTACCAAAACACTCCTTAATATGGAAATCACTCATAGCGATAACAGATACATGACCATGTGTAACTGTGATTGTCATATTGATCATGTCTCACTGCGATTGGCATATTGATCATGTGTGATTGTGACTGTCATATTGATCATGTGTGACTGTGATTGTCATAATAATGTCATGAATCAGTGTCTCCTTTTGAACCTCGATGGACTCAGTGGTAAATGATCCTTCACATTTGGTTAACAGGGAACTTGCAGCCTACATGGAGGAGTGGAAGGCAAATTTAGGAATGCAGGATCTTACTCTACAACATCCTGTTGTATGGCCTTGAGATTTTCGCAAAATCTTTTATTCATTATTATCACACAGAGTAGTGGTAGCTGTAGAAACAGAAGTGCTATGATTTTCGCATTAATAGCATTATTATTGTCATTATATGTATTGATTTTTTGTCATTTTGAAATGTTTTCAAAAATTTTCACAAGGAAACTACAAGGTAATAGACACGTTCCGCACAGGCGCATTAGAATGGCAACAATGAGTGTTTTTGAGCGTTTGGCAAATGTGGGGCTGCCTGAGATTGAAGTCAAATACTGATCAAGAAATCATGAAAAAAACTGATTAGAAAAAATGAAGCAAATCGGTTTATCTAGCGTGAATAAAGAAAAAGAAAATCTGGGAAGAAGATTCTTTTTCTCTTCCATTTAACGATCAGATGTAAAAACACATCGATTTAGATACATAATCGAACACGTTGTAAAACTACTAGACTGAACTAGCTGAGAAAACCTTAGTAAATCTAAAATACTCCTACTAGACCAAGTAGCATTAATCGTGATTCAGTTGTGATTCACATTCATTCCATAAATAGGCCTATTAATGCCCTAGTAGCGCCTCTACAGGTATATGAGAAGTTTTGAACATAAAAACGGACATGCATGAAAAAGTAGGGAATTTACTGAAACTAATAAACCTCACATAGAAAACTGGGCAAGCAAAGAGGAGAGCAGACAGAAGACATGAATGAAACAGGTTTTTACTCCGCGACATCCGCTTCGCTCCCCAACACACCTTCCGGGAACCTTTCCTTCTCGAGTCACATATAAGACCCGACACACTCGGTTCCCGCATCAGTCTGCCTCCATACTCTCTCTCGCACTAAGCTTCATTGAAAATGTATATTTTACAAATGACGGCAATCATGAGTCTGTAAAAAAGTCTGCTTGCGGGCAAGCAATTGACTTTTCAGATCTGTAATCCTTATCGACCTCATAGATTAGTGTATTTATTGAATATATATTTATTGTTTACTTACCTCAAGTTTCTATACCATTTCTTAAAGACCTTCAGGACCAGAATTAATGCATTGAAATTAGAACTGACAGTATATATAACTATAGAACGAGTGTTCACTAAGCACCACATATATATATACATGCATATATATGATACATTCATACATACATACACACAGACACACAAATATTACACACATACATTTGTATACATATATACGTATATCAGTATACACATATACATATGAATATGTATATATACATATATCTATACAACACACACACACACACACACACACACACACACACACACACACATATATATATATATATATATATATATATATATATATATATATGTGTGTGTATAATACAAAGCGTATCTATATATATATATATATATATATATATATATATATATATATATATATATATATATATATATATATATATATATATATATATATATATATATACATACACACACACACGCACATACATATAGTCAGAGAGCCCAGAGAGATTTAATCAGCATGTCGAGTACAAAAGGTTTGACACCCGGGTTGAACACCTCAGGGGCCCTGGATCCCTAAACGGCCATTCTTTGTGAACACGTTGTGGGTTTGGCCACTTAAGAAACGACCTAATTAATGCTAATACCACTTTTAATCAGCATGTTGAGTACATCAGTGAAACCTTTACATAATATTTTATGGCATGCTGATATCATATTGGTAATTCTTAAGTGTCGGCTTTGTGGAAAAAGCCACTTAGGAAAGAGGTCAAAGATACTGAACCGCCCAATTCCATCTTCCGGTACCTTTAAAATGACTGCCTCCCTTACTATTTGGAGTACTGGGTCAAGATTGGACTTCAGATGTAGATTTTAATGGGAGAAATAAGGATCACTTGTTTAATCATCCATTCTCGAGGTACCCGTTACACAAAACAAAAAAGGTGAAAAAATGGGTACCCTTTTTACTCCCACTGGCTTTAAAGTTTTATCAGCATGGTTGAGTACATCCATGAAACCTACACCAAAATGTTCCTCTACCAACACATAATAAGAATCAATCATTCTTAAGTGTCAAAATTTTGAACAATCCACTTAAGAACGACGGACAGGTCAAAGTGCACTCGTGACCCAACCAAAGGTTCAATTCATTCATGCGGAGGTCATCAAAAAAACTTGCAGGATATGTTCCTCTGCACGCAGACATCTCTCTTGACACAAAATCCAAGCCTTTTCTTTAGTACCCCCTAAATCCTCTAAACATTTTCGCCTGAATAGAAATCCTTAGAGATATGCGACTTGAAATCGAGATAATTGATAAATGTGACTGGGTCTCCTCAAGGATCTAGTATCACGGAGTCTAGATCTCAGTCGATACTTGAGAGCTCGGATAGGAGAGATGGTTTTGGCTCCTCAGCACTGTCAGCAGCGATAATGGGCAATGGGACATCTGGATAAGAAACGGGGTGTTATAGTTGTCCGCCTCTACGATCGACCAAGAAGGTTGGTGCATCTGGATGAGAGGTGAAGGCAACGGTCATAGCCTCATAGAGAAAGACGCGCGCAGATTTGATTGATACTATCAGACGAATTATTGTCGAGCGGTATTCACACTTTAAACATTACATGCATAAAGAACTGGAAATAACTGAAACAACTCTGATAATCAAACAGAGGCTACTAGTAAACCGGTTTGTCCTAATGAGCAAAATCTTTTGCTACTTGTGCATCTAACATTTTGAAGCAGAAGGTGTATCAGTTTTTTTTTCAAACGTTTCATATAGCTAGGGTCGCCAGAACTCTTAAGTACACAGGGTTAGTAGTAGCATAGCTCTTGTTGTAAGAATGATTGGTTTTCAAATTCATTTATGACATCAAGGGTGTCTAAGGGACGTGAAACACTTAATGAAACAATAACAGCATAGAGATAGTGTCTTTGAGAAGCGATTGGTTTGGTTCGTGAGAAAAAATATTTCCATGACTTTGGCCAAACGAATTGTAGCACTTATGCTTATGGCACATTCCTGGTTGGTTACACATAAGTTGGTCGTCAAATACTGACAATGGAGTAAGGACCATGTGTGATACGTATTCTTCTTACTTGTACAGTGATACACTAAGCCGATTTACGGCTGAATAGAATAGAAGTGACACGATTTTTATTTGTTTTTACATGGCACATGTTCTCTAATCTGTGCCTGCGTACAAAGACGGAACTTCGTCTATCTCATGTTCTCACCATATTTTGTAAACTATTCTTTTTCGTATACTTGCTGTTACCGGTGTCACAACATAAATTTATGGAAGGTCGAGGTGCCGCACATAATGCATTCTTTTTCCCTAATGCGACTATCTATTGCATTTCACTCTGATTCTTTATACGTTTTAGTGTACGTTTAAGGCGTAAATTTCAATTTGAATTCTTGAAAGTTCAATCTTGTTTGGGTTACTATCTAGGTGAATAGTGAATACTCTGCATAATATGAAAATGTAAAAGGAACTTGATGATCTAAGTGAGATAGCTAACATGTTCCGTGGAATATGAATCCTTTTTAAATTTAAACCGACTCATTACACAGTAACTAGAATATAGCCATTTACTAGCATTTTGATTCGGTACGCCGCTTAAGCAGTCCAACCTTTAACTTAAGTAGACAGTCACTGATACCTCACTAGGTGAGCGCCATGCGTCCTACGGGAACGCTTAGAGCATCCTCTTGTGTCTTGCTTGCTGGATATAATAATAAAGAGGATCAAGGCATGAGAACCGGATGTGTCGAGGAAATTGCGCAACGAACGCCCTTTTCGCTGTATTTTGAAGGGGATTTGCACGCTCCTTTTTAAGAATTTTCCATTCTTTCCTGAATTTCATTTATATTAATCATAGACATCATTCAACAGGCAATTTTTTCATCGACAGTAAATTGTGATATGCATTTCCTAGAGCCGACAGACGCACGGGTGCTAGGCTTAAACGGAAGTAAAGGTTCTTTCATGACGTTCACTGTTACGTAAGGGAAACATGACAGGAGTTACCAGTTGTTTCATTTATTTCTGGAATTTTTAAAGACAGAGTGTTAGATTGATATCCGTGTTGAGCAATGCGTTTATTTTTCTTGTTGAAGACTTTTGATGAAAGGGCTATGCGACCGGTAATAAATGAAATTTGATACCTTGAAAAGATACGTGACTGATATACAGTGGATAAACTCAAGAGAGAAGACTGACCAAACTGTTAACAATTCGTCAATGTCAAGAGTCTAGTCTGATCGCACATGTTATGCTCCGCAAACCACAACTAATAGAACTATTTGTATATATATATAAATATAGACCTAGTATATAGTGATTAGTACCACTGTTAGTATATATAGTCATATGTAAAGTATAGTGATATGACTGATGTGTGTCGCTTGTTGTGTGTGTGGTGTTGGGTGTCCTATAATAACTGATACGTAAGTACAGGGTTGGCAGCACCCACTCACAGGGCGGCCGGCGCCACCGACCCACATGCAACTCACAAACAATATATATATATAGATAGTACCGCTAGCATAACATTATTTATATACTTGGTATAGGTAAAGGGTGCTACATCATTAATATAAATTACTTAAATAAATGTCAAAGTGACATTGCAGGGGGCAATAGATTGCAGTGATGTTCATCTTACTAGCTGAAGACATGTTTCGCAATTTTGTGGAATGTTTGATACTTTTTCTTATCTATGTGATATCTATATCTATATCTATCTATCTATCTATTTTATATGTATATATATATGGCATATATATAGGAACAGGTAGTATTATATATAGCTACATACATATATGAAGCATATATAAAAACATATTATATATAGAAGTATAGGAGGTGTATATGCCATAATATATATATATTATAATATAATGGAGATACAGGGTCCACTATATCAATATTGACAGGCACATGCAATATATAGCCTATATAACTTAATATATAACAATATATATATATATATATATATGAGGGCGTATAGGTAGGTGTAGAAAAAGTATAAAATATGCATATATATATTTATCACACCTACATATAATTAACTGTAGTTAAGTGTTGTGTGTGTGTGTGACAGGACACATCACTATGCTTCTCTATATCTTATAAGTGCATACAACATATATCCTATGGAATTTTTACTTAGCTATATATGTTAGATTGGTGGTAATATGATGTATAGGTTCACTGTAGTGTATACCATATAATATTTATATATATATAATACTAAAGATAATAGGATTACCTATATATATATATTATATAAATCATAATATGACGGGAAAGTCGCATATAGATGTCATTGACACCAAACACATTCACACGCACATACTTATACATATAAGCCTACACATACTTGGTATATATATGTATACATATACAGTGTACATATGAACAACATATATGTATAGTAATTGACAGATGTATTTTGTTGATCCAATTCATAAATGTACATGTGAATATAAACAAATCATAAATATCTTACACACATATGTACACAGGATACGACATGTGTTTAGAGGACATATAATAAGCCAAGTATAATATATATATATACCAACTCACACATACACGCGGCCGCGCAGACCGCCGCGGGCGCAGGTGCCAAACTCATTAATCCAATGCCATACACATAAATAGGAGTGTGCATGTTATTGCCATACATTGTTTATACAGTGATCCGGGGGTAGTATAACCTATAGAAAACACATTATTCATAAATATAATATACGGACAACTATGGTGTATTACATACATACATACATATAGTTATACGGTGTAACTTGTATACAAGAAATGGATGATATGCAGTTACATGACCATATTATAACAACAGCACCAACAGCTAGGCACATCACATTACTAACACAACACAACACAGCACACAGTCTTTTTGCCACTGTACGGGAGGGGTGCCACTACAGAAGGGTGCGACTCACACTAACGACACACAAACATAATATGATATGTAATACTCATATATATACTATTATAATATGAATATAGATCAGGGTTTTACACTTATACATATGTTGAAAAGTTCACGACACTGACAATATATACTTTATACACATATATTGAGTGAGTTGTATATATATAAACGGGTGGCCCAACATATACATAATCATTATGTAATGGTATAGTAGATGCAATATGATCACTATATATCATAAATATATTGTGTATATAAGTGATAACATCATAGGTGTGGTGGTGTGAATACTACAATATGTACTATAATACTATGTTCTAATAATAGTAGTTGGGCCAACTATACAATATATACAATAAACTCATATTCACACGCACACATACAACACATACATATATGTATATATACGCATATATAGATGCTGGTTGAACCATCAACTATAAACTCAGATATGAAATAGAATATATAGTAGTATTGATTACACGGCATTATAATATATACATATAGAAAGGTACCTGTTACATAGCATATAATAATAACTAATAATATAGATAAGTGAGTTAGCACTTATATATATAACAAGAAATAGAGTTAGTTCCTAACTTAAAAAATATAAGTAAAATAAATAGTAGTTATAGCCACTTATATATATATTGTATACCAGGTACTACTTATTATGTAATGATGTGTACGCCCATACCAAACACAGAGCATCACACAACACATTCATCATATGGGTGAGTGTAACATGTTTTGGTACTATATACCATAATATACGGACCACACACACTCAGACACACAACACACATATATATACATATATTATATAGAGAGAGGTAAGTAGATAGATATAGATAGATAATAGATAGAGATTAAAGACATAAATTTTATATATTTTAAGAGTGTGTTTGCGTGTGGTGCCTATTCACACACACGCGCGCATATAAAAGTGCCTTCGTTAACAATGAGATATGATTGTTCATTGACAGATAAAACGAAATGCAAAATTTTTGTAAACATAATAAGAACAAACGTAGAGTAACCTATGAATGAAAACAGGGTTTTTACTCCGCGACATCCGCTTCGCCTTCCCACAAACCTTCCGAGAAACCTTTTCCTTCTCGAGTCACTTATAAGACCGACACACTCGGTTCCACTCGCATCAGCTGCCTCTCTCCTCTCTCGCACTAAGCCGCCCATCATATCGACGCAGCAACATGGCCGCCCACGCCGTCGCCCCCTTCGTGTCTACCAGCTGCAGCAGGGTCTTCGCAACGTCGACCTGAGGAGCTTGGTCAATTCGTTCGACCTGAAGGGACTGGTCAACAAGCTGGACATCCAGACGGTGGGTCTGGTGGCGGTGGTGGCTGTGGCCGCCGTGTTCCTGTTGGACCTGTTCACCAAGAGCTACGCCCCCTTCGGCAGGAGTCTGGTGTCCTCCGCCGCCCACGCCTGGGATAAAGCCGACCAGTGGGGCCTCAGCGGAAGTGTCCGTGGAAGGTGAGTACTGAAGGAATGAAACGATGCACTGCTATCTTTTTCTATATTTTAATCAGTAACGTTTGTTAACCCGAAACCGTAGTAAATCATCACAATTCTTGGTACTGCCAACAGTAAAAGGATATTTATTCAAACTTTATCTTTTAACTTCTCAATCTCCCGTCACAGCCGTTCCCTGGAGCCCGTGACGAAGGTCCTGGACGCCCTGGCGGAGGCGGTGAAGAAGTGGGAGGCGCAGGAGGAGGGCGTCGTCAGGCATCGCGCTTCTGATCTCCACAGAAAATGAAGATTCTTTTGTTTCATATGGTTGTCATGAACACTTGAAAAAGTTTGAATGAGTACAAAATTTGCTTGCAGGCAAGCACCGTGTATTTATTAAATAAATATATTTATAAACAAGTTTCTTAGTTCTTCGTCACTTTCTTAATGTTTTTATAAACAAAATTCACCTGAAAAAAATCTACAAATCAAAACTACAAATTACATGTATGTGCCGATATTGTATGTCGTATAGGCCAGAAAATAACCACAAAATAATAGCAATGGTATTGACCATGATCATAATAATATTTGTAAGTATTGTGTTATAATTATAATAATGATGATAAGGTAAGTAATAATAGCATTGATAATAATAGTGATGATGATAATAATGATAATGATAATAGTAATAATAATGATAGCCATGATAATGATTAAGATATTATCGATAACATTGTTAGTTTTTATCATTATCATTATTTTTATTATAATTAGTAGTATCATAATTATTACGATGATTATTATAATTATTTTATCATTATCATTCTTCTTATTATAATTTTTATCATTATCATTACATCCCCATTATTTACTCATTATCATTATTATCATTTTATTATTATCATTATTATTAATCATCATAAGTGTTGTTTTGTTGCTGTTATTTCATTATTATATTATCATTATCTTTATTATCGTCAGTGTTTTAGTATATGTTATTATTATCATTTATCATAGTATTAGTGTATATCAAGGTATCATTTTTCCTCATTACCATTAGTACCTATGATATCCTTATTATTGTCATAATTTTTGCTCTATAGATATCATGATTATGAGAAACATTTTCATAATTTTGAATTTAAAACGATGTTGGCTTCAATGATACATTAATTTCTCTTATACCCAAAGCAGCACTTCTTCTCAAGCAGCAACGCTATCGAGTACAGACCGATCTTAGTCTCCTAATTCTACTGATGAAATAGGAAAACAATTTTAGCTTCGGAAACTATATGATAATATATATATATATATATACAAATTAGTAATATTACAATGAAAATATAGATTTGATAAAGCCATATCAGGGCAAAACAAACTTTATAAGAAATACATATCAGGTATTTACATATACAGACAGTTTGCCTGCTAGAAAAAAGGGAATTTCTGGACACATTTCACTGGTAAGCACACATGGAGAGATAAAAAAGTACAGAACACATGGCAATGAGACAGCTTTTGTGTCTTGATATCAGAGTGTGTAGGAAATGGATGCTATCTAAACGTTGATATATCTTCTGAAACTAAATCATTCCCAAATTTTGGAAACACGTAAAAGTCTTGATCCTGATACTCGAAAGTTCCTAAACGACTGAGGAACGAAATTCGGATGTAGAGGAATTTTTGTGGGAATTTTCTTTTCGCTGTATTTGAACCGGATTTACACTTTTCTATGTCATCTTTCTTTCGTTTTGTTCTTTTTTTGCGTACCTGTAGGTAATTTATCTAATAACCTACCCATTTATCCGGAGTGCAATTTCTAAAGCACAATTCCTTGAATATACAGACTTCCTGAAGAAAGTAAAACGGACTTTCATGACGTCATGGTTACGTCGGGAAGAAAGTTTTTCCCAGTCGCCAATTTTCCTACTGAACATGCTCTTTTTCTGAACAAAGCCTCACTGTTTCTGTGTTGACTGGAATTACTAAAGGACTTCTCAGTTTGGGAATCAATCATTCGTAACGATGAACAGACATGACCACGTGTGAATGTTATTGTCATATTAATTAGTCATGAACCAGTGTCTCCCTTTGAACTCTTTGTCATCGTCCGCTTTAGAGGTTTTGTGGTACATGACCGTTCGCATTTGGTCAAGAGGGAACGTGCAGCTTATGAGGAGTAGGAGGGAAATTCATGAATGGAGGATCGTATTCTACAACAACCGGTTGTATGCCTTGAGGTTTTCCCGAAATCTTTTAATCTTGCTTTATTTTCATTATAATCACAAATAGTGGTTGTAACAGTAGTGACAATACACGCTATTATTATCACGTATCCAATAATATTATATTATTATCGCTATATATATTTAATGCTAAATCAAATATAGAAAGGTGATTGTACAGAATGCAGAATTTGTTTAGTGCTCCTTTTTTCAAATTTTATCATTATGTTACACATACGATTTTTCTCACCAAGGAACCACCATGCCATAGATTCGTTCCCCATTAGTGTATAGAATAACAACAATGAATGGCAGTAAGCCGAATATTTTTGGTAAGTGTGGGGCGGTCTGAGATTGGAATCAAATGCTGATCAACTAATCAAGAACAAACCAGTTATGTACAATGAAACGAATCGGTTTATCTGAATGGAAAAATATATCGGTAAAATATTCGAAAATCATTTTTTTTCTTCTAAGTTAGCTAATCAGATGTAAAAACATATAGACTTAGGTACATAATCGAAAGAGTTCTAGAATAATAAACTGAATTTGATGAGAAAAAAAAGTAGCAAACTTAAATACAAGACCATGTAGCATTAATCACAATTTAATTTTGGTCCACATTCATACCGTACATATACCAATTCATGTCGTAGCCCCTTCTTGACAGCTATATGAGAAGTCTTGAGAGATGAATTATTAAAAGAAAGAAAGAAAGAAAAAAATGGGAATGAGGTAATAGGGCTTTAACTAACAACAAACCACTCATAGATAACTAAGTAAATAAGGCAGGGAGTAGACAGAGAGGACATGAATGAAACAGGTTTTTACTCCGCGACATCCGCTTCGCTTCCCCACAACACCTTCCGAGAACCTTTCCTTCTCGAGTCACATATAAGACCGACACACTCGGTTCCCGCATCAGTCTGCCTCCATACTCTCTCTCGCACTAAGCTCGCCCATCATATCGACGCAGCAACATGGCCGCCACGCCGTCGCCCCTTCCTACCAGCTGCAGCAGGGTCTTCGCAACGTCGACCTGAGGAGCTTGGTCAATTCGTTCGACCTGAAGGGACTGGTCAACAAGCTGGACATCCAGACGGTGGGTCTGGTGGCGGTGGTGGCTGTGGCCGCCGTGTTCCTGTTGGACCTGTTCACCAAGAGCTACGCCCCCTTCGGCAGGAGTCTGGTGTCCGCGCGCGCCTGGGATAGAGCCGACCAGTGGGGACTCAGCGGAGGTGTCCGTGGGAGGTGAGTACGTTCGTTTGATATCTATCATGTTTATAGAATGATGAATGATCACTTTTCGTAAATTTGTTGGCATTACCAACTACATATCTAACTTGATAGTAAAGCGATGTTTCTTTGGACTTCTTTGGGCTTTAATGTCTCAATCTTCCGACACAGCCGATCTCTGGAGCCCGTGACGAAGGTGCCTGGCCCTGGCGGAGGCGGTGAAGAAGTGGGAGGCGCAGGAGGAGGGCGTCGTCAGGCATCGCGCTTCCGATCTCCACAGAAAATGATTTTTTTCCTTTTTCATATGGTTGTCGTGATCCGTTGAGAACGTTTGAATGAGTACAAATTTTGCTTGCAGGCAAGCACCATGTATTTATTTAATAAATATTTATAACAGGTAGTGTTTTGTCATAATTCTTAATGTTTTATAAGCATAATTCACCTGAAAAAAATCTACAAATCAAAACTACATTGTACACAGGAAAACAATTAAATGTATGTTTTTCCCATTAAAATTCCTCTTCGTATTTTTTCTTCTGATAGTGATGATAACAATTATGATGGTGATAATAATGATAGTCATAATGATAGTATTAATTGCATTAATAATAATAGTGGTGATGATAATGATAATGATAATAGTGATAGTAATGATAGCAATGATAATGATCAAGACGCTATCAATAATATTGTTACTTTTTATTATTATCATTATAATTTTTGCTATCATTAGTAGTATCATGATTATTACAATGATTATTATGATTATCATTATCATTATGATCATTATAATTTTTATCCTCATTACCATTATAATTCTTAATATCATTATCATTTTATTATCATTATCATTTTTATCATTATCATTTTTATCATTATCATTTTATTATCATTACATCTCCATTATTACTACTATCGTTATCATTATCATTATTACCGTCATCATTAGCATTGTTTTGTTGTTGTTATTGTCATTATTATTATTATTATTATTATTATTATTATTATTATTATTATTATAATAACTAATGTTATTACTATCATAGCTATTATTAACATCATCAGTACTAGTAGTAGTATCATCATCAAATATCATTATCATCATTACCATTAGTACCAACGATATTATTATCATAATTTTTGCTCTGTAAATATGATTATGAAAATAATTTTCATCATTTTGAATTTAAAACGATGTTGGCTTGAATGATACATTTTTTTCTTTTACCCAAAGCAGCACTTTCTCTCAAGCAGTAACGCTGTCGACTACAGAACGATCTTAGTAGAGTAGATACAGAACACATAGAGAAAACATCAATGAGGCAGCTTTTGTGCCTTAATGACAGAGATATTATCTAAATGGATACTATCTAAACGCTGGTATATCTTCTGAAACTTTTGAAATGAATAATTCTCAAAATTTGGAATCACGTTAAAGATTTGATCCTGATACTCGAAAGTTTTTTTGTTTTTTTTATGCGATCGAGGAACAAGATCCGGATGATTTAGAGAATTTTTTGTGGGAATTTTCTTTTCGCTGTATTTGAAACGGATTTGCACTTTGTCATCTTTCTCCTTTCTACATTTCTTGCGCACCTGCAGGTAATTTATCTAATAACCTACCCATTTATCCGGAGTGCAATTTCTAAAGCACAATTCCTTGAATATACAGACTTCCTGAAGAAAGTAAAACGGACTTTCATGACGTCATGGTTACGTCAGGAAGAAAGCTGTTGCCAGTCGCTAATTTTCCTACTTAACATGCTCTTTTTCTGAACAAAGCCTCACTGTTTCTGTGTTGACTGGAATTACTAAAGGACTTCTCTGTTTGGGAATCAATCATTCGTAACGATGAACAGACATGACCACGTGTGAATGTTATTGTCATATTAATTAGTCATGAACCA